ATAGCAAGGGGTAATAGCAAAGGCTATCTATAGGGACAGGTTTCTGCCTCTATGTTGTTAAGTTTATATGGTGCTGATGAAGAAGTGCACAGGGCATTTCTATCAGAGGAAAATATTAGCATTTTAGGGGGTTAGGGGTGGGGGTATAGAAAGGCATATATATATATCTGGAAATGGGTTAAATCATAACTGCCATTTTTTTCAAATACACATGACTGTATGTCTGACTGTGCCCTGATGGCTGACAAATGACATAGAACTGGCTTGACTTAAATTCCATTACACTATAATATAAAGCATATATGCTGAGTTGATACAAAAAAAGACATGAAGTTGGAATATATATCAAGCTTATGTGGAAACCATAGGAACTCTGGAACAGGACCGCATATTGCGGCGCATAAATCCGAATCCGTACCAGGCTTTACATATTGTTTGTCCGACCTTTGAATATCTTTTCATATTATGCGAGCGGGATATATTATGCGAGAATAAAATGGTGGATTCCTAACTTGACCTGCGTGGGTCAGGTTAGAGCGCTAGCATTTCACAATAGTTGTCAATAGTTGTCAAAGTGAACTCTGGAAACGTTAAAGAACATGTCAAATGAATGACTTAGGCTTGTTTCAATCATACAATATCCACAATATCTGTTATTGTAACTTCAATGGTTTGTTCAAGTCAACTGACTTGTTTAAAAACTATTTGGTGATTCTATTGGCGTCTAAATTTTGTTCATTATATATAGATATATTTACGCTTCAAACCCAAAATATATAGAATTTAAACAGAAATTCAAGCTGAAACTTCCAGAAATGTCATTTTAGCGTGATTTGAGTACATAAGATCATTTTAATCATTGTTGTCATTATTTTGCCTGAATATCCCTTTAAATATTCCTTTTTTTTTCAGTTCTAAAGGCAAAATCAGTTGGACCATATTACTCAAGTGTCTGTTTTCTCCATGTTAACAAATCAAAACACATATACGCCCATTATTATGCCGCCTATACATGTCAACAGACTCAACACGTGTAAACTATAAACCGTGAACATTATATCTGGACTTATAATACCTGATAGTTGACAAAAATAACGGGAACAAAATTCTGAAAAAATAGTAATCAATTGTAGCCAAAGGGGAAAAATGATATCGATATATCATCAATATTCATCATCCGATACGATATCCATACACACTTTCACATATCGATACAAACTGAAAAAATTAATATTTCTGTAAGTTTAACTATACCTGCATATTTTGGCTCATAAGAGAAGTCACTTTTTCTAGTTTTTGTGTCGCCTTGAAAAGGTGACATATAGGGGTTACTTTTGTCGGCGGCGTCTGTGTCGTTGTCGGCGTCGGCGTCCCCTAAAGCTTGTCCGGAGCATAACTCAGTCACTATAAGTCTGATTGACTTCAAACTTGGTATGCATGCTTCTTTCAATAACCCCAAGTGCACTGCACAAGGACTGGTACTCTGCAGTTCTTATTTTTTGAGTTATTGCCCTTTGTTAATTTTCATACTTTATTTTTGACCGGGTCATTTCTCCTAATGTATAAAAGCCATGGACTTGAAACTTCATAGGATGATAGGTCTCATTAAGAAGAAGTGCAGTGCACAAGAACAGGTACTCTGCATTTCTTATTTTTTGAGTTATTGCCCTTTGTTTATTTTCATACTTTAATTTTGTCTGGGCCATTTCTCCTTAAGTATAAAAGCTATGGACTTGAAACTTCATAGGATGATAGATCTCATTAAGAAGAAGTGCAGTGCACAAGAATCGGTACTTTGCATTTCTTAATTTTTGAGTTATGGCCCTTTGTTAATTTTCATACTTAATTTTTGTCCAGGCCATTTCTCCGAAAGTATAAAAGTTATGGACTTGAAATTTCATAGGATGATAGATCTCATTAAGAAAAAGTGCAGTGCAAAAGAGCTGATACTCTGCATTTCTTATTTTTTGAGTTATTGCCCTTTGTTGATTTTCTTACTTTATTTTTGTCCTGGTCATTTCTCCTCAATTATGAAAGCTATGGACTTGAAACATCATACATGTAGAATGATAGATCTTATTGATAAGAAGTGCAGTGCACAGAAACTGCTGCTCTGCACTTAATATTTTTTAGTTATTGCCCTTTGTTATTTTTCATATTTCATTTTTGTACTGGCCATTTCTCCTAAACTACATTGTTCACAAGGCGACACATCCGACTCGCGGAGTTCTAGTCTTGGTTAACTTGAACTTTAAACTTCGTTTTCAAATGTCAGTGACATTTTAGAATAACAGAAAAAAAACTTTCTGCTAGTTTGTAGTATTTGAAATGTGTAATACAAGTATGCATAACAGTGATAACACCATGATCCCAATTTATAACACATATATAAAATTAATGTTTTTTATTGTATAAAAGTATATTGTCAAAGTCCATATATCGATGTATCGTGACGTCGATATTTGTCTCTCGATATATCGATACAAAATTTGCCATCAATGTTAGCCCTATTAAAAGTATATATTATGCATAATACTAATGTCACTCTGGATTAGAAAATTCCCCATGAATGCTTGGTGTATATTATGTTAATTTCTCAATTTGAGTGCATGCTATGCATTTTTCCCAATTTGTTTGGTACCAGGCATGATTAACAAAGTAGGGGGGAAAATGCTGACACTGGGACCAGTGACTTTTCATAACATTCAGTGACTGCTAAGTAGCAATCTATGACTTTACAAAGCAACCAATGACTGCCATAGCAACCATTTACTTTCCATAGCATCTAGTGATATTTCATACTAACTGGAGACTGCCATAGCAACCATGACTTTCCATGATGAAATTGACTTCCCTTAATAACCAGTAATTTCCATAATAACCCTTGAAATACATTTCTCAAGAACATGTACCTATTATTTCTACAAGCATCAACTTAATCCTTAGTAACCAGTGGTATCCATAGCAACTAGTGACTTATTTTCCAAAGCAACCTTTATCTTTCCATAGCAACTGTTGGCTTTCTTTTCTTTTCATATCAGTTACAGACTTTTCATAAGAACCAGTGACTTCCATAGCAAAATTTTATTTTCTATATAGCAACCAGTACCATTAACTTTCATAGCAACCTGCTGGTCAGCCGGAATGGTAGCCACTGCAGCCTTTAAAGAGCCAGGCTTTATTGTTTAGCTAACAAAATTGATAATGGAAGTTTTATAAATGAAAGCTAGACAAAGTCTATTTCAGAAATTTAGCAGGTTTAGCATTTATCTGTATTTATTTACTCTTATTATTTTCCTAAAATTTAAATACTATAACACAATTGAAATTTGAATTAGTTTGTAATGGTACAACAGTTAAAAAATAGTTGCTTAAAATTTTAGGGTCCAAGCCTGTAAACTGAGCCAAGCAAAATAGATGTGATGGAGGAGACAAGTGATAACAAACTAATCAAAAGAAGAAAATGTAAGTGAATTGACTTATCAAGTACAAAGTTGTTGTAGTGTTTAAGGGATTTTAGGGTTTTAACTTCTGCATGAATGATAGGATTTCAAAATGAATTGGTTAATGCAGCCACCATTAGTAGATGATGTTTTGCGTGCTGTACTTATGTCCCTCGGTCAAAGTCATAGCAGTGATGCATTATGTCAGGCATGAGCAGGTACCTGAGTAGATAAACCAACATTCTGTAAGCTTGTTTGATTTATGTAGTTTCCTCACATGAAAGTACACATAGTCATCAGTGGTATTCAAACTCAGAGCAGTGAGTTGCAAGTGATTTGAAGTCAACTTATCTAAGCCAAGCACACCCCATTGTCTGCTTATCTGAACTCTGTTCTTTGAATTGAATATTATGTACATCAAATATCTGATATTGGTTGAGACAGTATTTTTCCAGTTACTACAGCATTCCTTTGGACCACATTAAATATGCATTTGTTAATTGTTATAATGTAAATATTAACCACATTTCAGGTCATATCTTGGATAAAAATGGTTACCTTCAACAACTAGATATACTGGTCACAGTTAAATTAAGTAAGTACTTGTACAATATCTACAAAATGTGCTAAAATGATACTTTAGACAGTACTTTACCAAATACAATTCTCTTTGCCTGTTTTGTTCATCAACCATGTGAAACTCTATAGTCATCACAGTCCTCTTGTCTTGAGGAAATTTAAGATCAATTACTCTTTTATATATCACCTCTAAAGAGAGCATATATTTTGTTAAGTAAAAATAGCTTGGCCCTATAAAGAAATTTGTCAGTGATTCCTGTCCTTAACCTCTCACTTACACAAAAAATAATGATGCAATAAAAGATTTTTATATGGACTATAATTAATATGCAATTGTAGATATAAATAATTATTAATCTTAAGTTTAGTTAGAAAATTTGTTTGAATAATTTGGCCTCTAAATAAATGTCTGTCTTTTGAAGGCAATGCATATCTTATTCAGAATTTAAATTTATTTAAGAATTATCATATGAAGTACTTTATTTATCAAATTTTGAAATATAAAAAAAGTAAAATAGTTTTTTTGTTTATTTTCAGATATTGTTGTCAAGAAGATTTTCCCTATTCATCGTAGAGGAGCAATGGAACATGTGCTTAAACTTTGCATAAGTTTTGTTGAAACTTTCATTTGATATACTGAAGATGGTTGTTGAATATTGTTTGGTAACAATATCTATATGGCTATATGGCTGTAAAGAGAGATGTTGAAAGGTGCAATTTTAGTGCAAAAATGTGCATGTTTAACAACATGTTGAATGAACAAACATTATAATGCAGTAAAACACTAGGAATCATTATGTTTTCAAAACTTTATAACAACTTAGTAAATGTGTCGGAATGTCCATATCTCCATCCACCAAGAGGAGGTATCTACATGTTACTGAAACTTAATACATTATAGATGGATAAATCTCATTGGGGAGAAATGATGTGTTGAATTTTAATATGCCCGAAACAATTTCGGGCATATTATGTTATACCCCCTGGCATCTGTTCCTCCGTACGAACCCAGAGGTACTTGTGTGACTGGGTATCAGTATATAAATAACACATGGATTTGTTAGTAACAGTAAAAATATCATCCCGAAGAAAATACTGTTACCCAAGGATGATTGTCCATATTATTATTAGGTAGAAGACACCTATTGATTTTGAGGTCACGAGATCAAAGGTCAAGAACTGAAAACAGTTTCCGGAGCATAACTTAAGTTCCATTTGGCACACAGTGTTCAAACTTCATAGTATGATTGTCCATATTGGGTAGAAGATCCCTATTGATTTTGGGGTCACAAGGTCAAGGTCATTATTGCCTTAAAACTGAAAACAGTTTCCGGAGCATAACTTGAGTTCCATTTGGCCCACAGTGTTCAAACTTCATAGGATGATTGTCTATATTGGGTAGAAAATCCCTATTGATTTTGGGGTCACAAGGTCAAAGGTCAAGGTCATTATTACTTTAGAACTGAAAAAAGTTTCCGGAACATAACTTAAGTTTCATTTGGCCCACAATATAAAAACTTCATAGGATGATTGTCCATATTGGGTAGAAGACCCCTATTGATTTTGGGCTCACAAGGTCAGAGGTCAAGATCATTATTACTTTAAAACTGAAAACAGTTTTCGGAACATGACTTAAGTTCCATTTGGCCCACAGTATTCAAACTTTATAGAATGATTGGCCATATTGGGTAGAACACCACTATTGATTTTGGGATCACAAGGTCAGAGGTCAAGGTCACTATTACTTTAAAAGTGAAAACAGTTTCCGGAGAATAACTTAAGTTCCATTTGGCCCACATTTGGCCTAGCGGTGCTCTTGTTAGTTTTCAGCTCAATTTTTTTTAAGAATAAAAGAGTGTGAGCTATTGCTATGTACAGTCATGCCTTACTTTCTTGTTGTCATCCTAAAACTTTAACATTGGCAATTATTTCATTACAAAATGGATTCAATTTTCTTCACAACAACCCTTTTGACAAGACCTTCAAGTAGACCAGACTGAACTTGACCTTGAGTCTTAAAATATCTTGACGTTCCAAGTCACGGTGTCAAATGTTTAAACTATCAATTTTGCTTGATATTTCCTTATTTGGCTGTAACTTTGTTATTCTTTTTAGCTCACCTGAGCTTGCGTTTGAACATGGGTCATCTCAGATGAAAAACTAGGTCACAGGAGCTAAAAATAGAAAAATCTTGTTAACACTCTAATAGCTACTGTTTTCATCCAAATATCCTGGACTGAAAGTTTGTTTTGATGATTTTTATGTCAAATTTGAATATGGTCAAAAACTAGGTCACACTGCTCAAATATGGAAAATCCTTGTTAACACTCTAGTGGTCACATGTTTGACTCACCTGTCATGAAACTTGGTCAGGATGCTTGTCTAGGTAATTGCTCGGATGAGTTCGAACATGTGTCATCTCAGATGAAATACTAGGTCACAGGAGTTTAATATAATATGGGTTTGATGGGTCAGGTGAGCGATCTAGGGTCATTTTGGCCCTCTTGTTGGCTGTAACTTTGTAAGTAATCAATGGAGTATTTCAAACTTAGACAAAACAACCATTTGGACAAGACATGCTGAAAGGTTGAACAGACCTTGACCTTGAGCTTTAAATCACATTGACTGTCAAGTTCAAATTATTGAATTTTGGTTAAGTTGTCATGAGGGAACGGTTCCCTCTTGCCAGTAACATGGCTCTAAATTTCTATATTACTGCATTTTATTCTATCAAATTGTTATACATGTATCTGTTTTGTTAAGGGGAACGGTTCCACTTTAGAAAGTTTGTTATAGATAAGTTTTGAAATTTATTTTTTATTTTGAGGAGGGAATGGTTCCCTCTTACTAGTAACCTGGCTCTAAATTTCTAAATTATTGCATTTTATTCTATAAAATTGTTATATCTATTTTGTTAAGGGGGAACAGTTCCACTTTAGAAAATTGTTAAGTGATAAGTTTTGAAATTTATTTTTTATTTTGATGAGGGAACGGTTCCCTCTGACTGGTAACCTGGCTCTAAATTATTGCATTTTATTAGCTCGACTATTCGCAGAATAATCGAGCTAATGCAGTCACCCATTTGTCGGCGTCGGCGTCCCTGTGGTTAAGTTTTTGTATGTAAGCTGGTATCTCCATAACTACTGAAGGGAATGGATTGAAACTTCACACACTTGTTCTCTGTGATTATCTAAGATGATTGGCACAAGTCCCATAACTCTGATTTACTTTTTTGCATAATTATGCCCCTTTTTCGACTTAGAAATTCTTGGTTAAGTTTTTGTATGTAAGCTGGTATCTCCATAACTACTGAAGGGAATGGATTGAAACTTCACACACTTGTTCTCTGTGATTATCTAAGATGATTGGCACAAGTCCCATAACTCTGATTTACTTTTTTGCATAATTATGCCCCTTTTTCGACTTAGAAATTCTTGGTTAAGTTTTTGTATGTAAGCTGGTATCTCCATAACTACTGAAGGTAATGGATTGAAACTTCACACACTTGTTCTCTGTGATTATCTAAGATGATTGGCACAAGTCCCATAACTCTGATTTGCTTTTTTTCATAATTATGCCCCTTTTTCGACTTAGAAATTCTTGGTTAAGTTTTTGTATGTAAGCTGGTATCTCCATAACTACTGAAGGGAATGGATTGAAACTTCACACACTTGTTCTCTGTGATTATCTAAGATGATTGGCACAAGTCCCATAACTCTGATTTGCTTTTTTACATAATTATGCCCCTTTTTCGACTTAGAAATTCTTGGTTAAGTTTTTGCGTGTAAGCTGATATCTCCATAATTACTGAAGGGAATGGATTGAAACTTCACACACTTGTTGTCTGTGATTATCTAAGATGATTGGCACAGGTCCCATAACTCTGATTTGCTTTTTTACATAATTATGCCCCTTTTTCGACTTAGAAATTCTTGGTTAAGTTTTTGCGTGTAAGCTGGTATCTCCATAACTACTGAAGAGAATGGATTGAAACTTCACACACTTGTTCTCTGTGATTATATAAGATGATTGGCACAAGTCCTATAACTATGTTTTGCTTTTTTACATAATTATTCCCCTTTTTGGACTTAGACATTCTTGGTTAAGTTTTTGTGTGTAAGCTGGTTTCTCCATAACTACTGAAGGGAATGGATTGAAACTTCACACTCTTGTTGTCTGTGATTATCTAAGATGATTGGCACAAGTCCCATAACTCTGATTTACTTTTTTGCATAATTATGTAAAACTACTGAATGGAATGTATTGAAACTTGAAGGGTTTGTACCTTTTCGGACAATTTTATGTATTCATATAGGTAAGCATTATTATACTCAATGAAACACCCTTGTGACAAATTTTTGAATAGTCGAGCGTTACTGTCCTCCGACAGTTCTTGTTCTATCAAATTGTTATATATATTTTAAGGGGGAACGGTACCACTCTAGAAAAAGTGTTACAGATAAGTTTTGAAATTTATTTTTTATTTCGATGAGGGAACGGTTCACTCTTACCGGTAACATGGCTCTAAATTTCTATATTACTGCATTTCATTCTATCAAATTGTTTTACATGACGTACCAGTTTTGTTAAGGGGGAATGGTTCCACTTTAGAAAATTTGTTATAGATCAGTTTTGAAATTTATTTTTTTATTTTGATGAGGGAACGGTTCCCTCTTACCATTTACATGGCTCTAAATTTCTAAATTATTGCATTTTATTCTATCAAATTGTTTTATCTGTTTTGTTAACGGGGAACGGTTCCACTTTAGAAAATTGGTAAGTGATAAGTTTTGAAATTTATTTTTTATTTTTATGAGGGAACGGTTCCCTCCTACCGGTAACCTTGCTCTAAATTTCTAAATAGCTGCATTTTATTCTATCAAATTGTTTTATCTGTTTTGTTAACGGGGAACGGTTCCACTTTAGAAAATTGGTAAGTGATAAGTTTTGAAATTTATTTTTTATTTTGATGAGGGAACGGTTCCCTCTTACTGGTAACCTGGCTCTAAATTCTAAATTATTGCATTTTATTCTATCAAATTGTTTTATCTGTTTTGTTAAGGGGGAACGGTTCCACTTTAGAAAAAGTGTTACAGATAAGTTTTGAAATTTGTTTTTTATTTCGATGAGGGAACGGTTCCCTCTTACTGGTAACCTGGCTCTAAATTTCTAAATTATTGCATTTTATTCTATCAAATTGTTTTATCTGTTTTGTTAACGGGGAACGGTTCCACTTTAGAAAATTGGTAAGTGATAAGTTTTGAAATTTATTTTTTATTTTGATGAGGGAACGGTTCCCTCTTACTGGTAACCTGGCTCTAAAATTCTAAATTATTGCATTTTATTCTATCAAATTGTTATATCTATTTTGTTAAGGGGGAACGGTTCCACTTTAGAAAATGTGTCGTAGTTAAGTTTTGAAATTTGTCTTTTATTTCGATGAGGGAACGGTTCCCTCTTACTTGTAACCTTGTTCGTAATTTCTAAATTATTGCATTTTATTCTATCAAATTGTTATATATATTTTAAGGGGGAACGGTTCCACTCTAGAAAATGTGTCATAGATAAGTTTTGAAATTTATTTTTTATTTCGATGAGGGAACGGTTCCCTCTTACCGGTTACCTTGCTCTAAATTTCTAAATAGCTGCATTTTATTCTATCAAATTGTTTTATCTGTTTTGTTAACGGGGAACGGTTCCACTTTAGAAAATTGGTAAGTGATAAGTTTTGAAATTTATTTTTTATTTTGATGAGGGAACGGTTCCCTCTTACTGGTAACCTGGCTCTAAATTCTAAATTATTGCATTTTATTCTATCAAATTGTTTTATCTGTTTTGTTAAGGGGGAACGGTTCCACTTCAGAAAAAGTGTTACAGATAAGTTTTGAAATTTGTTTTTTATTTCGATGAGGGAACGGTTCCCTCCTACCGGTAACCTTGCTCTAAATTTCTAAATTATTGCACTTTATTCTATCAAATTGTTTTATCTGTTTTGTTAAGGGGGAACGGTTCCACTTTAGAAAATTGGTAAGTGATAAGTTTTGAAATTTATTTTTTATTTTTATGAGGGAACGGTTCCCTCTTACTTGTAACATGGCTCTAAATTTCTAAATTATTGAATTTTATTCTATCAAATTGTTATTTCTGTTTTGTTAAGGGGGAACGGTTCCACTTTAGAAAATTGGTAAGAGATAAGTTTTGAAATTTATTTTTTATTTTGATGAGGGAACGGTTCCCTCTTACTGGTAACCTTGGTCTAAATTTCTAAATTATTGCATTTTATTCTATCAAATTGTTATTTCTGTTTTGTTAAGGGGGAACGGTTCCACTTTAGAAAATTGGTAAGAGATAAGTTTTGAAATTTATTTTTTTATTTCGATGAGGGAACGGTTCCCTCTTCCTTGTAACATGGCTCTGAATTTCTAAATTATTGCATTTTATTCTATCCAATTGTTATATCTGTTAATTTGTTATGGGGGAACGGTTCCACTTTAGAAAATGTGTTTTGAAGTTTAATTTTTTGATGGGGGAATGGTTCCCTTTTATCGGTTACATGGCTCTTATTTCTTAATTATTGCATTTTATTTGATCAAATTGTTATATCTATTTTTTTAGGGGGAATGGTTCCACTTTAGAGTATGTGTTAAAGATAAGTTTTGAAATTTGCTTGTTATTTTGATGAGGGAATGGTTCCCCCGTAATGTATCTCTTATTACTGAACAATTGCTTTTTATTTATCGAATCATGTTGTATTCTGTACATGGCTTTTGTTCTTCGGGGGAATGGTTCCCCCGAAAACATTTGCAAAAGAAACAAAAAATAAAATTTGGATGTTCACTTTAGCTGTTTGTCTTTTACTTTTCACTTGTCTTTTACTTTTCACAAAACAATACCATTACTTTAGCTGAAAATAATGTAAAAATAGTGCCTTAAAAAGGGGAACGAGTGTATTTCCCCTTTTTAAAATATATCGAGTTCCCCTTAAAAAATTAGCCGTCTCCGTCTTCGTCTATCGCTATCGGCTCAAGCTAAAAATCTCTAATAATTACCGTACCGCGTCTCTATACCGACTGAGCTGTCCGGCCGCTTACACCTTTTATGTGCTTAAAAGTGAACACCTCTTACCCATGACAGATAAGGTAAGATAGATTTAAAAACAGGTAAATTAATTCTCAATTAACACGCATTGAAAAAAACCAATATACATGCACACATTCTTTCTATGAATTTCAACCAGTCCAATCAAACAAAAAGAATACAATGATATAGCAATATTCCTATTATGTACAATAAAAAACAGTTACAATTATTATTTTAGCACTCTTAAAATTGTCAATCCTTCTTTCCCCTTCCAGTTTGGTGTTTACATGTTAAAAGTTAAATGAGCCGCGTCACGACAAAACCAACATAGTGGGTTGGCGACCAGAATGGATCCTGATCAGACTGCGCGGACCAGACCAGCCTGCCCATCCCACAGTCTGATCAGGATCCATGCTGTTCGCTTACAAACTGTATAACAAGTAGAGAAA